CGCATTAGGAATAATTGTATTTTTCTGCCGCCACTAGGTAGGTATGAGTGACGTTCGCTAATAAGTGACGATAACTGACTTATCGTTACTTATCTGCAAAAAAATAATACGCACAATAGCTACATGATAAACGAGGACAGAGGGGGTAACAAAGTTATTTAAAAAATTATCTTCACGGTTACAAAATACTTACCTACCTATTATAGTTAATTTATGTTTTCTTTTTAGGGTTCCGTAGTCCTGACAAGGTACCCTTATCCCATCGTGTGGGATATCGTTGGATAGGTCTTTTAAAATGGCTTAGGGGTTTCTAAGACTATTTTTCGATTTAGGTAGGGATCCGTTTGCAAATTATTAAAGTTTAAAGTGCCAATTTTTGTTCGGGTAGGGCGTCCCCTCCTCTAAAAACTAAACTGTTTTAATGATAGGTATTTAGTAGGTATACATACATTCAACTATGTTAATTTGTAACAGTAAAAAGTCAGAAAGTTGCGTAATTTATACTTACCTACCTACTCACACTACATACCTACTTATGGGTAAAAAAGCCGTACCTTTTTTCTTTTTTCAGCCAAATGACGTCCACGCCAAATCTAATACTGCTAATACTTAATCAAAAACATGCCTACTAGCTATACGAAGAGACAATGCGCTTTTATACGTCTACTGTGTAGGTACCTAGGTAAGTATGTCTAATAAATAAAAGATAAATTAATTAAAACTTAATTTTTATCGTATTGGTCGGCCGGCGGCGTGTGAGATTGGCTTATAATATTATGTGTCCTAGCCGTAGCCAGTTACCCTTGCTCCAAATATTATCACACAGCACGACATGTTTGCTATCATAAACTGAGTTTAACCTATAAGTTCAACCGTTGAAACTCAATAGAGGGAACAAAACAGTTGATAGACTATCTTCTAAACAAAATTAAAAAAAACCTCTCTAGCCTCTGCGTTTTATGCGTTTGTATAATTTTATTTACCTATGTTTGAGTTTGTATTCAAATATGATACGCTAATAATATTTTAAAACGTTGGCTGGCACTACCAATATATTTATGAACTCGGCTGTACCTACCTTATTACATATATACCTGCATTATTTATATGACAACTCAACTCAATCAATCGCTAGGTGGGATAAGTATTTCTAGAATGATGCATCGGTGTCAAAAGTTATCGAGTCCGCGATAAAAACACAATAAAAATAAGATTTGTTATTCGAGTTGACGCGATGAGTTTTACAAACAGATTTACAGGTTCAAATTAAATAAGATAATAAATTGGAGTTCAAATTAAGCATCTTAGGTTAATGGGTATAGGGATGAGGGGGCATGATGGGGTAGGTTAGGTACTTAAGGAGTGGACACTAATAGATGAAACGTTTTAAATAAAAAACCTTTTATTTATCACATATTCTACATTCATATTCATCGAAAAAACCATCTTCCCCTTACCCCGGGATAAGACGGGGTATGTTATTTTGAGTATGATAGATGTTTCTGAAACGATACGACATTTTACGACATTTGACATAGCCTCTAATGACCACTCTCCTCTATTCGACCATTGTTATGTGCCTGAAATAAAAAATAAAGCAAACGAACGCTAAACCCAGCCAAGCCCTTCAATATTAAAATGTTGAGCTAATTTTCGAAAGAAGAGGCCAGTGGCGTCAAGGCACTGGCCTCTTCTTTCGAAAATTAGCGCGCTTTTAGCACAGAATAAATAATAGTACCTACCTACCAACTTTTAGTTTGAAAAAGTGAAAAATGCGTGTCGAGTAATAAGGTGTCGAGAATTTTTGACGGACTAGGTACTTAATTCAAACTCTCGCTTTTTTGGCGTTATTGAAACGAAAAGAAAGCAGGAATCGGTTCTATCCTGGTCGCGGTGCACGATATTTTTTTGTTTACTTTTGAATATGATAATCCTTATTTATTAGGGATAAGGATGGCAGATAAACAATGTAGGTATTAAGCTCAGTATTAAGTGTTACGCAACTTGCACTTGTACCTACATTGTTATTGTATCAAACCACAGAATAAATATCAAACTTACTTTCCAAGTACAATCTATCAGTTCATTATCACCACATCAATGTTGTTGGAATTTAAGTAATCGTGTCAATTTATCGCTCTAATCAACGAGCAAATATTTTATTAAACCTTCTGATATTTTTTCGTGAAGTAAACACGTGAATTCGTGATCCACCAACAACAGTAGATAATTATTATGGTGTTGCGCAACAATTATTTAGACATTACGGATTGCTCCTTTGGATCATTAATTATTCATAACCATCGTGATGGGTGAACAATAAAAACATAAATACCTACATATTGATAGCATCTGCCTTACACCTGTACTACCTACCGTACCTGTACTATTACTTATTCTGTGCTTACACTTAAACTCTTGAAGCAACAAATATTGACAAAAACAACTCGTACCTAGTACGCAGGTAGTGTAAGTACCGCCACAGAATTATAATAAGTACTTACCGCCTACACCATAAAATAACATTTCACGTTTATGATACACGCCGCAGGTATAGTAAAAGTTGTTAGGTAGGTACGTCTTACTAACTTTTGTTTTTATTTTTGTAATACTTACATATATAACCTGACTTAAACTAAACCTGTCGATATTGGTTAACACCAGTTCACAACATTTTTTGGCGTGAAATCCCCATGCCCCATTTGTGGAACTTATAGTTGTGTCTCTTTACCTATAAATTACAATATCCTGTACCTAAATATGCAAATTACCTACTTCTATACAAAGTCGAAAAAATGTTTGCGTTCATGTAGAGATCTAACATTAACCAAAGAGTGACCATGACAGAGCGTTATTTAATACCATTATTTAGTATGTACTTACCTACACCTAGTTAAGTTGGTAAATCTGAATACTCGTAAATACAAAAGATTTTTCGTAGTGACATCGTAAAAAACATAAAGAGTGTTGTCCTACATAGCGATATTACAGCACTCAAGTCAAGATAAACACCGCAGCATCATGTTGAAAACCAGTTCTGACTCTGAGAAATGGTTTTAGGACAATCAAATCAAATCAAAGAGAATTTTTTAAATGGCAATTTTAACGCCTCTCCTAAATTTAACAATTTAACTGTAGCGCTGCGTTGCGCTTGTGTCGTTTTCATAAACCGTAGGCGTTTGATATTTATAAAAATGAAGAACCTAAATAGCTAGGCGTTATAGGTACCTACTAACTGTTAAAGTTTAAAAGTTTGAAATTAATGGTTGGTGATGACTAATGTAGTAGTAGTATAATTTAGATTTGATGATTTCCTAAGGGGNCAAAGGTGTTAAAGTAGACACGCAGTTATGAATTAATATTAATAGAAAGAGAGGTAAATAAGTCAAAATGACGAGCATGCAACTAAGTACTCGCATATACATTGTAAATGTAAAGTAGGTTAGGTTTTCTTTATCCATTCTCTTTGTTTTAATTACTAACACTAGCTTATAAGTACATCTGTAACTACTAACCCACTATGGAAAATATTTTTTCTGAAATAAAAATTTATTATTATTATTATTGTAATCGCGAACTTATTACAATACATACATGATTAGTCCGTATGCGTACTGACGAAGTATATTTTGGAGTAAGATAATTGACCTCAGTCACTACAAACTATACGCGAGCAGTACGCAGCGTATGCGTACTAGTCGTGTATAGTTTGGAGGAGCTTAGTAAAAAAAGTCACATCCAAACTATACTCGATTAGTTTCACACGCTTGCGTTCTGGCTATGTATAGAATGGAAAGACGCGGCGATTCGCATGTAATACGCAAACGATTCGAACTCGAAAGTTTTTCGTGCTAGCCGTACTGATGATGTGCTGTCGGCTGTAAAATACCGATTTTAATATTTTTACGACTGCTTTGGGGTATCATAAGTTTGTAATTAGAAAATGATTTATGCTTGGGATGTTTATATGTAACTTTTCCAACAATATTGCAGTAAAATAGGTAATTACAGTAATTATTCTGTGGTAATTTATATTACCAACCTAACCAAGTAGGTACCAAGCATTTATGGATGTATCCGAGCTAAGTATTTGTGAACGTCAGAATGGGCGGGTGTATGGTCACAGAAATGAATAATATAAATATGATTTTTTTATANCCCCCCTCTTTACGTGTGACGTACTTTATGGATGACCCCTAACACGGAACCTCGATCCTATACTTACTTAGTTTAACTTTTTTTGTGCATAATGATAAATAATTACTTACTACCTACTTCAAAAAGACAACGCCACCCTTGTAGCGGAGTTTTGTGCTGACACTGCTGCTGCTGGATGGTAACCTAACTTTAACGATGACTGGTGTTTTTTGTATGGAGTGTTGACAGATTTTAGCCGTTTGTCAAAGTTAAAGTAAGTGTTTTATACTTCAATGAGGTTTTTCCATCCAAATCTATATATATAAAAGAAAGTCGTGTTAGTTACTTCGCTTATAACTCAAGAACGGCTGAACCGATTTGGCTGAAAATTGTCAGGGAGGTAGTTTAGAGCCAGGAGAAGGACATAGGATACTTTTTATCCCGTTCGAAATTAAAAAAAAGTCTGCTTATTTATTGCCATTAAGGCGGAACAAAGTTCGCCGGGTCAGCTAGTAATGAATAATTACGTCGTCTGAATGACATCAATCAATAATGACACATAATAATAATTCATTACGAAGCAGATCGACATCAAAATTGCACACTAAGTACTTCGAGATCCGAGTGACGAAGGTTCGAACCCTCTACCGTTCGACACAAGTAACACAAGCATTTTCATTTAACACGAGGGAGGGGTTAAAGAATTTAATTTGTAAAAACAAATGACTAATAATCACAGATTACTTACTACTAAATTACTAATTTTCAGTTAAAAATTCTATAGTATTTTAATATCGGTTTTGTGGTTTTGTCATGTTTAAAAGGATGGGTGAAAAAATTTGCAATGACAACGTCGCAAATTCCTTAAGTAACTTTTACACGATCGATTGCTGGACAATGAGACATCTGATTGCGAAATATAAACAATGCACCGAAACTCTTAATCGGACACGTTTCGCCATACATCTCGCAGCTGACGAACGCGTTATGGGCAAAATTATAATTATCGTTCTAGTAATTAGTTGTTAACGTCGTGACGGATCGGTGGCCGTGGTGAATAGTAGCTCTCTTAATGAATTATTGACTCGTAAACAGTGCTCATGCCATATAGCGAACTCATTTGCAATGCACACGATCATCATCTCGATTGCTGCACTGGTGGCGATGGCGCACTCGCAAACATTTAGCAGCTGCACTGATTACTGCAATTATTTGTAAGTTATTTTATCTAAATTGTTGTTAAGGTACTTACTTACTTAATAAAATTGTTCACTTTGCTGGAATATTAATTATCAATGCATAGCCAAAAGGACTTACTCAACAACTAAGGCCCGATTTGACCAAACTTTTATTCCGAGATAACTGGCACATTGACAGTTTCAGTATGGGAAATATGTCAAAATTTATTCTGAGATTATTATTTAGGTACTCTTGTTTGGTCGAATCCACCCTAAGGATACCTAGTAGGTATAGGTATTTATACAGTGTATGTATATTAGGCCTCATAATGTAGGTAGGTACATTCAATAAAAAAAGATTAGAGTAAAATTACTACTAGCTACAAATTAGTGCACAAACTTAGTGCCTAGGTACCTTTATATCTGAGCATGACTGATAAAATAGTAACCGCCTCTATGGTGACTGTGGTCTAGTGGTAAGACCACCTGCTTCAGTCGCTGATGTCCCGGGTTCGATTCCCAGTGGTGGCAGATTTTTCCGTTCGGTTTGGTTGGTGGTAGGGCTTGTTCTAAGTCCGCCTGACCGCCATCTTACCTAAGTCTGTCGCCATAACAAAAATGTTTATAAACAGCATTGTTGTGTTCCGACAGTTAGAGGTAACATAGCCAGTTCCTTCGTAGTTGAGGATTCCGGGTGAAGCTCGCTTCCACCTTCGGTCTGATCGTCACTTATCTCAGGTGAGATACAGATCATACAGGCCAAGAGCTTCCTCGTTGTGAATAAAAAAAATAGTAGAGTTTGAAGCTTTTCTCTACTGGCTGGCTCATTATGTTCTCTTGGCAAAATTTTACATAAAAATGATTCGATGGGATAATTTTTGCGAGATTTAGTTAGTGTATCACTAAAACATTACCTGAATCTAACCGTGATAATATGATGTAACTGCCACATAGGTAGAATGGTTGTAGGTATTTTGCGTGAAAGTCGATTTGATACAGAGCTTAATTAAGAGTTAAATTAATTAAGAAGCCTTTTAACATGGAATCGCTAAGCGCATTCATCGAGAATTGACTGTAGGTCCTACGGTAGGCTGACCGACCGGACAGATACTTTTATTCAATCTAATCAGTACCTATCTTTTCTTTTCAGGCAATTCGGTCAATTACCCATTTTTTGGCGGCCAGAATGCAAATGTGCTATGGAATATCAAAAAAATAATATTTTCAAAAACAGTCTTACTAAAATTAAACCGCACTCAGGACTTGACAATAGCGCTATTTATTATGAACCAGCAGATGATTATCCTTTCCGAAGAACATCATTTGATAAATATCCGATTCATATTGTTAATCCAACGTATCACAAACAGGACAATATGAACGCAGAAAACCGTAACGATCGACGAACAGCTAAAAATGGAGAAACGAGTCGTTCAATCAAAAAACGAAAACTAAATGACAGTAAATTGCATAAGATTGATATTGATGCTGACGATTTACCAATATATTTAGACATCGATATTTACAAAAGAATAAAAGAAGAGAAATCTAATGAACAAAAAACTAATGAATTGAAAACAATTAAATTATCAGAAAAAGATCTCATTGAATGTATAAATTTACATATTTTAGTGTATTCCAGAAAAAGTGACCAAGACGCAGATTTAAAAGTCATGTGGGATGAGACAAAAATTAACAAGTACAAGGACTTGTCTGATTCCGATCTAATGATTGAGATTGAAAGTAAATGTCATCAACCCGCTGAGATTGTGCACAAAAGCTTGGAAGAAATTAAAAACTCATGGCCTAAAAAATCTCAATCCCCTCAAGACTTTCACGGCAAATATATAAGGAATAATTTAAAAGATCAAAATAAAAAAGAAAAAGTTGTAGCTGTAACTGATACAACTGAAACACTTCCAACAAAAGAATCAATGAAAACCGTGTCTCAGTATTCTTCGACTACCAATAGTACCAAAGATTACACAGACATTTCCCCTAATTTTGATCACAGTAAAATAAATAAAGTGTATTGGACAACGGATTCCTCTTCTATAACTTATAATGCAGAAAAAGATGTTAAAGAACTTAACACCGTGACAATCGAGCCTACTGTGAATGAAATGTTCTCCAAAAGTGAATACGATTTACTAAAAGATATTCTACCGCAGAATCCCAACGATGCTGTTACTTTGGAGTCAACTACTATTAAGGAGCCTAATACTAATAAAGAATTTAACGAACAATTATTATCTACAAAATATAATATGGAGACAGAGCCAAGTCTATCTAAAAGCACTTATTTAGATGTAACTGCTACTAGACCTTCTCTTAATAAAAAGCACAAGGAAATAATGGAAAACTATATGAAAATTCCAAGAATCACTACAAAGGAATTCGAAAATAGCACTGTTATTAGTATTATAAATGGCACTGAAATTATTCCGAATAGTGATTTCGTAAATGAGCCTAGGATGGCATTAATTAAAGATTTTATTTACGAAAATTTTGATACAACATCAAACACACAATTTACTTCAACAACAGTAATTCCTTTTTCTACCAGAATATATGAAGTTACCACAAGTAACCCATTCAAGGAGGGAAGTAATGAAGAGATAGTTGAGTTAAATAAGCATTCAAAAACATATAATAAAACGCAACATGGAGAAGAAAACGCATCTGCCTCGAGTGAAAAACATTCAGGTATACAAACACTACCTATTCCCTACAACAATCCGGTAAAGTTTGGAGACAAAATAGATGATATTATAATCAAACAGAGATCAAACTCAGGTTACTCAGGTACGACAATACTAAATGAACCAACTACATTTAAAACAAAAACAGACGAAAACTTAATATTGGAAGTAAATCCCTTACAGAAAATTATAACAGTGCCTCCGATATCAACTGTAACCGAAAAAATACAATTGACAACAGATTACTTAACGATTAGTCCTGATGAAATTCCTATTACTGATTTGGAGAATAGTTCTGATACAATGGAAAGACAAAAACCATTGCTAAATCCAAGTCAAGACGCATCTGTATTACCTTTACAAATCCAACAAGAGATCCAAGGTAATGAAAGTATTAAACAGCCAAATAAATCAAACAAAACTTTGAATACTATTGACGAGTATTCAAAAGAATTAAAACAAATGAATCCTAACGTGTCGCCTCATCAAAATAGATCTCAGGCAACCGATAATACTGAATTTACATCCAAAACAGATGTTATTCCTATTTTAGAATTACCTAATCATTCATTAACAACATTTAGTCCTAATATAATGCAAGATATGGGGACTTCGGGATTGAATAAGAGCATAATATTGCATGATTTTCTATCTTCAACTAATTCATATTATACTAATGAAATACATAATAAGGAAAATGGTACAAAATACTTTACTAGTCTGGAGACGACTACTAAATCAGGGTTTGCAGAAGACGACATAGGGATTCCAACAAATGGATATGAAATATCTGGAATAAAATTATTGCACAATGAAATATCCCAAAGAAATAACACAGCTGATGATGCGAAAACACTAGAAAAGATTTTATTAAATAATACCAGTACGGAAAATGTAACGTCTTCCAGTCTAGACAAATTGAACAATGTTAAAGATGCAATAGACATTCAACAAAAACTGGGATATTCTACAACACCAGCTATTCCCCAAGATTTAGATACATTGGAGAGTATTATGATAAATAGCACCCCCGAAGTAAAAGCAGAATTACCTTCGTCTAATCAGGATATAGAAGGAAAACTTTATTTTCTTTTTGGTGACAAACAGATACCCGCTCGTTTCATTCAAAGGTCAGATGGACAAATCAAGTTAGGATTAGATGGAGTTACATTATGCGATAAATTAATGGAAAAAGGTATCAATGCTTCTCCATTGATGGCAGCAATGTGCAAATGTTCCCGATCTGAAAATTGTGCAAATAATTTGAATGATCTAAGTTGATATTAGAATGATTTACTGTGTTGTAGATCTTTCACTAATAAAATATTAATATTAAAATTTGTATTATCATTTCTGTGTGAACAATTTTTTTTTCTTCAAAACTCTTACATAGTGCAACCGTCCTTTATCGTCATCGTCCGTCCGTCCTTTACCTTTATCGTCGAGACCAATCCTTCAGTGATAGGTACTTATACCTACTTAGAAAAACCCTAAAGTTAGCCTATTAAAAAAAAAGTAGCTCACTTAGGGTCAATTGGACGAACTTGTATTCTGAAATGACCTTACCTATACACCCACGAAGTTTGTTTAACCTTCCGCCAAACACCATATTATTATATTATATCAGATTGTTTTTAATTATAACATAACCTAAGCGAACCTTACAGTATTATAAACGAAATCAACGAAATGCAAATTACACAACATTCAACTTAATCGACGACTTTCTCTAGAAAGGAAAAAAATCTGGACACCGCTTGCTAGTGCTAGCGCCATCTAGCGGTGAGCGATACAGGCGAACACCACGGGGCCGGAGTAGTATTGATTATGAATGTGGTTACTCCAGATCTTCGATTTTCCTAGTTTTTATAGTTTTCCCTTTATGTGGCCATTAAACCCTAACTCTGTACCAAATTTCAGCCCTCTGAGTTAATGGGAAGTACTAGTTCTATTTTGATGATCATCAGTGAGTGAGTGAGTGAGTGAGTGTCGTAAATGCGAAACTTTGCTTTCGCTTAACTTCGGAACTAAATGACCTACAGACTTGAAATTTTGGATTTAAAGAATGTGATTATAGCTTACTAGATGACGAAAATTTCTGCGTTCTGGTCTTATCCAGAGGTTCTCAAATAGGGGCCTGAAAATGCGGCGAAATGGTTCCAGTAAAGGATGGTACGGCAGTGTTTGCTTCGCGCTCGACTTGGCGGGGGCATGCCGTGCCCCCAGATTCTCCAACTCCTAAGCTAAGAAATGTTCTTTTACCGGAAGTTTTACGTTCCATCATCACCTGAAGGGTACAGGGGCAAAACAAGAAATGTCACAAAAACAAAAAGTTACGTAATTAACATTTAAATTTTTTAAAGTTTAAAATATTCTTATGTGTCACTTAAAATTATAAATAACTAATATAAATACATTATGACTATTACTTGTTTTTACGCTTTTTGTATAATTTCAAATAAAAATACGCGGGAAATCGAAAATATTGCCATCAACAATATACTTTTGAATTTTAGGGACATTCCTTGTTTTTCCCCTGTACCCTTCACCTCATCAACATTAGATGATGACTACCAGACACACTTACATTAATAACTTTTATTCTATAAATTATGAAAAACGTAATAGGTAGGTACCTACGTGCCTATAAAATTTGAGGTATCGTATGCCCCTCAGAGGTTTGCCCTCGATTTCCCTAGGATCCCATCATCAGATCCTGACTTGGTGGCAATGGGACCACCTCAGAAGTGTAAGTAGTTACCTACTTACTCTAGCGAACAAAAAAAGAATTCTGTAAATCGGACGGAGTAATCGGTGATCATACATAGAAAAAAAAATACATAAGTACAGCCGAACATAGAACCTCCTCCTTTTTTGAAGTCGGTTATAAAAGGTTAAAAAGTATTTGTCGGAATTTGCATCTAATTTTTCCTGCTAAGCATCATTGAGCATCATTTCGTTCGTAAATCCCAAATGGACTCTTCGGTCTCGGCAATGATATTTTGTTTATACAGTGTGAGTCACGTTAAAGTGTACATATGGAAATAGATGAAACTAGACCTATTTTTATCGACAAAAAAGAGGTCAAAATTTTTTGAGATTTTTTTAAAATTTTTTATCGAATTTTTTTTCTTCCAATTACTTATTGTAAAGAAAACGTAATAACTTTTAAACTAAGCGGTATATTCTGATAAAATAAAAACAGTAATAATGCTAAATAACAGGCGATACTAAAAAATACATAAAATACACAAAAAAAGGCCAAAAAATAATAAAAAATGATAATTTTTGAAAAAAAACTGCTAAAAAAATTTTGTTTTNAATATTCTAACTGGGAATATTGCCGGGAACGAGAACTTTCTCAGCGGCACATCTCTAATCACAACCTAAATCACAACCCGCAACGGCCGCAAAGAAGACAAAATCAAAATTTAGTACTTTCTGTAATAGTAAAAAAAATAATGTTTATGTTACAAATTCCTGCTCGTTTCAAATATTATGAAATATTATCTTCAAATGAATAGATTTTACTATTATTGATTCATATTTTTGGTATATTTTTTTTGCGTGAGTTATGGCAGCACATTTTAAATATTTTGCATCTAGCAACACTTTTAACACTACTAGTGCAGGGACATGCAACAATTAATCGAATAGCAAAGTGAATTTTATTAAATTCACATTTTTTCATATCACAGTATCATCACACTTACTGTTACACAGGAGTTGTCGGGCCGATTAATACTATCTCATCTATGCTATTAATCGATAATTTGATTTTCAAGGTTATTGTTGTTTCTTTTTTCTTCTCTTCTGTTGTTTTGTTTAGTTAATTGTAATTCTTGACGCGTACGTGCTGTTTAACTTTGTTAGTTATAGACAACACAACCCTGCGTTGCGCGCCCCTTGGAGGGATGTCGAATTTGCACTGTTATAATTATTGTTACATAATTTCTAGTCAGTGTATTCTCCAAGGGACGTGCAATAAGCAAGGGAGTCCGTGGAAGTGCCTATTGGCACATTTTTTCTAACATTTACCTTTTTATTATAGTACCTACATAATGTGTTTTTTGATCTGTTTTCTGTTTTTTTTATTGTGTCACTAAACCATTTCTATCTATCTATCTATCACGCACACGATGCATATCCTTTCTAAGAAAATACATTTTAATTTTGCCCTGAGTTATTTTTTATATAGTTTTCAGTCAGTGAGGGTTTTCGTAATTAGAACTGTCATGTTGTGGCAATTTTGTTAAAAATAAAATAAATTGAAAATTATTTCAATTTGAGATTTCATTTTATTGTCTCATCTCAAATAATCAAAATAATCTAATAAAATGCTTTAATTTTAATATTTCTTTTTTTCTTCTTTTTTTTCTAGTGACCGTGTGTTGAAATCAATAACTCTGAATAACTTTTACATGGAGTTGACACCATCGCATCGTCGTCATCATGAATTGGGCTCTCATATTGAGCTTCCCAAAGGAAGAATTGAAATGACCAAAAAGAGGAATATTTTATTTTAAAAAAGTTCATTGAAAAATTGTGAAGTCTAGAACTTTTCAGTGGCTACATAGATTTTTTATTAATTACATATTATCTATATATATAAAAATGAAACCCGTTTCGCGTTGTCACGGCATCACGTGTGAACGGCTGAACCGATTTCGATAATTCTTTTTTTTAAATGTTTGTGGAAGTCCAAGGATGGTTCTTACGGAAAAAAATATTAAGAAAATCTCTACGCTAAGGCGGTACGAAGTTCGCCGGGTCAGCTAGTATTACATAATTACGAATTCATCGTGCGAAGTAACTAGGTACATAAAAAATGCTGGAGTAAAGGAATTTTGGAATTATTTACACGTCCGTCACTTTGGATAGGTTTGTTTTTAAGAAAAGACAAGAAGTAGGTATGGACCATTATCATTATATTATATCAATTTAAAAGTAGTTTTGCTATAGAACAGTTAAAATATAAGTACAAGCCATTTTTTTTAAATATAATTAATTTGACTTTAATGACTATGATATTAATTTTACTGAAATATTTTGAGAAGAAGTCGAAAACCAATAATCTCTAATAAAATATCTACGATTTTAAATTATATTAGATACCCGTATTCATAATCGATAAAAAATCGTTCATCGGTTACTTCACCGCCCTAACTAACCTAGCCTACCAAGCACGCCAACAGACTGTCACTTGTAACGATCGAAGAGTGGTTGAACATCGAGGAGAGGTCGTGGAGGATTTTACCATCTTGCCACCATCGCCGTTCGCCAAATTACACCATGGCTGATACCGAAAAGGCGCCGCAGCCGCAGCCCCAACAGCAGCAGCAGCAACCAGAACAGCAAACCCAGCCGCAACAACCTAAATCGGCTAAACAAAAGCAGGTCATCGGTAAGTGCGATACGCCATCTTAGTTTTGCGTTTCCCCGGCATTATGTTAACGAAAGCACATGGCTATGAAATTGTGAAATCTCACTTTTCTTTTGAGTTTTGGTCTACGTCATTGGACTATAATATTTCGATGACTAAAATTAGATTGGATTAGCGGTGGCATGGGAAGTGATGCCCTAGTTTGAGCGGTATTGATCGTGTGTTGACCCCGCCGGTAGCTGCTGCTCATACAACTACATAGGTACTTATTCGCCCCGCGTCACTTAAATCGATAGACCTAGATGCGCGGATGCAACATCCAGGTCATCCTACTGGAATAGTTGTATTATGTTTGCATATTCGTGTAGGCGCGATTTTCACTGCGATAATTTCTGATACATGATTGAGCATTCTAATTTTGTTATTTTCCTAATTTCTAATTTCATTCTATGCGTTATTTTGCGCTGGCGTTGTTTGATCGAGTTTACTAATTACACTACAACAATAATGCAACTACCCTCTTAATTATTTTTGCGTTACCTGGCTGCTGCATACTATTTAATTCAGAGTGAGGCTTGCTGGTTTTTCTTTAATATTATTGAGCACATGGCGAATTTGTTATAATTGATTGAACAGTTGTTTGTCATGTTGTACCTTTGTTTTATTTGTTTAATGGCAACCAAACCCAGAGGGGAGATTATTGATAAAGTTGTACACTTGTTATAATATTAAAGTAAAAGTTTCTCTGCTATTGATTTCACTATTTCATGGCCATGTAAATTTTTAGGACTCCAGACAATTCTTTTCTCGAGATATCCATAAGAAATTTGTATGCACTCTAGTGTGACGTATTAGATGGTTTTCTCTATAATTTTTTTTGGGTAGTATGAACAGTTTGTTATACATTTTAAAGGTAGGTAGTATTTCATTTAAAGTCTGTTAATCATGTAAGCAATATTTTGTTTGTTTAGGGTCTAAACTAATAATTTGCATAATAAGGATACGTAGCGATGAGTTAACGCTTGATTGAAAACTTGAGCACATTTGAAGGTCCCAATGGGCAAATTACAGGTTAACATATAGAATAGTTACTGATCTACATATTTGCTCAAGTGTACATTAGCATAAATTGTTTTAATGTTTACATACACACTACACTCTACTACACTATTTTATCAATACCCTAGATAGTTTTTGAACCGAGTTTCATCCTACCCTCTGACCCATATTTATTGATTTTTCATCCTACCCTCTGACCCATATTTACTGATTTTTCATCCTACTCTCTGACCTATATTTATTGATTGTACTACTTACTACTTATAAAATAATTAATTTATTACTTTGTTACAGCTGAAAAGGTTTCGGGCACAGTGAAATGGTTTAACGTGAAGAGTGGATATGGTTTCATCAACAGGTAAGAATTATTGTTAATAAACATCTTTTACTGATTCTTTTCAATAAGAGAAGCACGCAGCATTTTACGATAAGTTTTGTAAATATTAATCAATGTTTTGTTCTGTAGGAATGACACTAAGGAGGATGTGTTTGTTCACCAAACTGCGATCGCCCGGAACAACCCACGCAAGGCTGTGCGCTCGGTCGGCGACGGAGAGGCGGTTGAGTTTGCCGTGGTCGCCGGGGAGAAAGGCTACGAAGCAGCCGGAGTTACTGGCCCCGGCGGCGAGCCGGTGAAGGGCTCGCCGTATGCAGCTGACAAGCGCCGCGGCTTCCAACGCCAGTAAGTGACAATTTGCAGATGTATTCAGAGTACATTTTTTTTATCCACAACGAGGAAGCTCTTGGCCTGTATCTCACCTAATGGTAAGCGATGATCAAGCTAGAAGGTGGCAGCGAGCTTCACCCGGAATCTTCAAACCACGGAGGAACTGGCTATCTTACCTCTAACTGCCGGAACACAACAATCCTGTTAACATCGTTGTTATGGCGACAGACTTAGGTAAGATGGTGGTAGCTAGCCAGGTGGACTCTTAAACTTTCATGTACCAGCGAATCAACACATAATAGAAATCAATTGTTACCACGACCTCATGTGAACACATAGGGTTCTACGAGTTAATAGTCTTTTGTATGCTCTAATCTGTATCTACTCAGCTACTGCCTTTTTAGTGGAGTCTCTAACACTTAAGCTTTCTTACCTGCAACTAAGAAACTTTGTTTAAGTTTCATCTCACCAGAATGCTAATGTCTCCAGTCCAGAACTCATCAATACTAGTCACCATCAATTCTCTGGTAGAATAAATGTATGCTTTTGAAATCTTAAACTGAATTCCTAGTAATTTACAAAGATTTGGACTTCAATCTTTGTAAATTACTCAAAGCAATGTTAATGCAAAACGATCGTTGTATTTTCGTGTTAAGAATTTGCCTTATTCGTGCATGTCGCATTCATCACGCAGCCACAACTCTCGATGACATCATAAACTGCGAAATTGTTCAATTCAATAAAAACTTGCGGCTCACGGCTTTTTTTTTTGGTCGGTATCAAATGGCGAAAGCGGGTGTTTTGCCAGATTCCGATTGTAAATGTTACTAAAATAAGTAATTTTAACGTAAAACAATGCAAGTTTGGATTAGAAATAGATTTTTTTAAATTTACATGCCTAGTTTGTGAATGATCAACATTATGATATTAGTGATGCTGACTTCCTGACTGTAAAAGACTAGTTATCTACGAAATTTGCCCCAATGAGGGTTTTCGCGAATGAAAAATCCGCCAGATGGCAATACGTAGACGCGAGGTCCAAATGCTGCATGATTGGTTATTTTTGACATGACATTGACAGATATGTCAAAATCACGCAGTAGTCAGACCCCAAATCCCCGTCCCGCCATCTAGCGGATTTATCATTCGCGAAAACCCTCATTGCTTATATTGAAATGAAATTAGGTCACGGTCGTCAGGGATGCGCGCTTATCGATCGCGCAAGATGCTGTGCCGTGTAGAGCAGCTAAGCTATGCTGTCTTGTACATTTGAGACTACACTTTTGTAATAATTATGGAAGACGGTTGATGTTTTCTTAAGATTCATTTTTTACCACTGTGCGGTGGGACTATGGTTAAAATAAATTACCCGTGGACCCACCAGGGGGACATGTTGGGGGGACCACGGGTAAACGCCGGAAAAAACTACACATTATTTTTTTAAATATTTAGCAATATGTGTGTGTAGTCATCTTTTGTGGTTCAGGTCCAGTGACAAGGTCACGTCAATATAAAAGAACAGATTCTCATTATGTCCCTGTCTTGCTTGAATTTTGCCGTGTTATTGACACAAATCTAGAGGCGTTCTTCTTTTTAGTCTTGACTACTACTCTCGGTTTCAGCTCCACTGCAATCTCGTTTACGTGGTTTATACATGAATAAAACTAGAACACAGGCGGCGCTGCTAATGTTATCGGCTTTCGTCTGCTTGCTTTGATACCAAACAAAAATTGCATATCAATTGAAATAGAAAAATCTAACAATTTCATGTAATCATTTAGTTGCATCCCTGGTTTTCAGGTTCGTTCGTTTCAGCCAAATGATGTCCACTGCTGGACAAAAGCCTCCTCCAAGGTTTTCCACAATAAACGGTCCTACGCTGCCCGCATCGAGGCTCTTGCCGCGACCTTCATTCATTCCTTCGGTCCACCTAGTAGGAGGCCTGCCCACGCTACGTCTTCCAGCCCGTGGTCGGCACTCGAGAACTTTTCTGCCCCAACGGCTATCGTCTCTACGAGCCATGTGCCCCGCCCACTGCCACATTTTAGCAATTCTGCGAGCTATGTCGGTCACTTTGGTTCTCCTGCGTTGCTCCTGCTCCTCCGAGCATAGCCCGTTTTTCAGGTGTTTTTTTATACACAACGAGGAAGCTCTTTGCCTGTATCTCACCTGATGGTAAGTGATGATCAAGCCGAAGATGGAAGCGAGCTTCACCCGGAATCCTCAATTACGGAGGAACTGGCTATCACCTCTAACTGCCGGAACACAACACTGCTGTTAACATTGTTGTTATGGCGACAGACTTAGGCAAGATGGTGATAGCTAGCCAGGCGGACTTAGGTGTAGGGATGTTATGGATATGTAGTTTCGGTTATGGATACGGTTACGGATATAGGAATAATATTATATCGGTTTCGGTTACGGTTACGGATATTTTTTTATTGATGGCATTATAAAGGTAAATCAGGCTTTTATGCCTTTACATTATAATGCTATACAAAAAATAACAATTTAAACTACCCACATCCGAAACTTTTGAATCGGTTACGATTACGGTTTCGGATATTTTTTTATTTCAGATATCCGAAAGTTTCGGTTACGGTTACGGATATCCATAACATCCCTGTTTAGGTGGTGTTACCACTAGACCACAGAGGCGGTTAAAAAAATTTTTTGTTATTTGTTTCAGATACTACCCCCGTCAAGGCGGCGGACGTGGCGGTGAAGGCGGCGCTCCACGCAGGGGCCGCATGCCCCGCCGCGGGCCCCCGCCCAGCCAGGGGGGCGCGCAAGGTGACGAGGGACAGGAGGCGGCCGGCGCACCGCCTCAGCGGAGGTTGGTATCTCAACTTCTTTTAGGCCTAGCTCAGACCAGAGATTATTAAAATTTCTCAGTGAATAGAGCAGTGGCGGCGTAGCATGGGTTGGCACCCGGGTCGATTCATATCATGACATACCTATCATGACCGTCCTTATAATGCAGATGCGCCAGTGAGTACTAATCAGCGCGACTTTTGTCACCCTCTGATGCTTGGCACCCGGGGCGGACCGCGCGGAATAGAGTCGCTTCCAGTCGCCATAACAGCGTGTTACACTTGAAAATTTCTACAGGTTCATCCAGTGTCTAAGTAGCTCAGTTGGAAGAGCAGTCGCCCGGCAAGCGGAAGGTCGTGGTTTCGAGTCCCGCCTTAGGCAGTTCGATTTTTTCAAGTTGTTTAATTAAAATTTAGACCAGAGATGTTAAGGATATGAAGTTTCGGTTATGGATACGGTTACGGATATTATAATAATATTATACAGGTTACGGATATTAGAATTTAAAAAATGTAAAGCAAGATGCTGCGCGACCCACATAGCCACTTTATGTACTATGACGACACCTATGATAAAGGTAAAACAAGCGGGGATATTAGATGGTGCCAGAGAATTCCAGACAATTAGCAAATATTAAAAAAAATAAGATTTAGACTGCCTTTATCCGAAACTTTTGTATCTGTTTCGGTTATGGTTAGTTTTTTATTTCGGATATCCAATAGTTTCGGTTACGGTTACAGATATCCATAACATCCCTTGGCTCAGACACCGTGGAATCCGCGCGGTGCTGGGCAGGTCTCGGACAGTTTGCATCGAACCGTAACCGCACGGTTACCGCCTCAGTGCCTCGCCAAAGAGGACCACCCACAAACCGCGTGTGTGGCAAAGCCTTAAATATGGGAAACACTTTAAAACCTAGACTCTTCTTATTTTGTTGCTGTTTATGAACTTGTATTTTTTCGCCACTGCGGGCACACTGTTCCGCCTATGTCACGTGCGCTGATTTCTCTGGACTCGTTGTTATATTCGGTCGCATGCGACGTGAAAAAGTGTTTGTTCTTGCAGTTACATACCTAATTATTATTGCCGCATTTAGTCTTTAACTGTACATATTTTTTCAACTGAAAATACACATTTACACTAGTATACACATTGTATTTCATACCGTGTCAAATGTAAAATTATTCCCTATAAAATATTGTAGCAGACAAAAAAAAACAACTTTTTTTAAATTCATAATTAATTATACCTGTACAGTTCAGTGGCAGTTGAATAAACAATTGTGTTTTTGTGCAGCTACTTCCGTCGCAATTTCCGCGGCGGGCGCCGGGGCGGCGGGCCGGGGCCCATGAACCGCGGCGGGTACCGCATGCGTCCGCGCAACCAGCCCCCGGGCCAGGCGCCGGCCCCCGGCCAGCCGCAGGCCCGGCAGAACGGACAAGAGGGCGAGGCTCCTGCCACCACGTCCTCCCCGCAGCCAACCCAACAGGCCAAGCCTAAGACCAACAAGCCCACTGGCACCACCATTGAAACCACCACCAATGAGAGCCAGGCCTAAACATCGGGCAATGCGTGGCACATTCTTATGTAGTGCATGTTAATTCTAGCTGTGCCACGTCATCACAACTTCGTCTTGTCTGTTCAACTGATGAGTGTTCCGTTTCCATGTTGTTGCAGACGATAAGAGATCTTGAAATTAGGAATCGTTTCTTTTATCTTGTCCGAATTGTATCATGGGGAGCTACAAATGGAACTGCAGAGGTATCATGGATCAAAGATGTGATATTTTTAATTATTATTAAATTAATATATTGTATTATTTAATATTTCTACTTGCAATGTTTTGGTTTTATACCATTAGATTGTGTAAAAATATTTTGGAGCAGATTAAAAATATAATATCAAGTTTGGTATACCTTTATGGAAATCGTTCGCCTTAAAAATATCGCGATTGTATTGGTAAGTGTCAGAATCTCTGGACCAATAGAGATATTTGATGTTTAGTAAATACCAGGTCCAAAGGTTCTGGCTCTTATTATATTGTGCAATTAATATATATAAATATATATATTGGTAGTTATTGAGAAATGATACGCAGGTTCCAATGCCCCAAGAGAATCATGTCTTTAAAACTGTTTTATTTTTGTTAAAATTGTACAGTCGCGTGATATAACCAAAAGTTTTTAATTTGCATAATATGAAATTATTAGTTCTGTAACTTAAGACACTCTCAGAAAAGTAATAAACTTCTTTTTACCTGTGTGAAACTTGTCGACTTTTCTTTCATTACTCCACCCCCCATCATATCTTCCCGAATGTACGCGAACGTCTAACTAGGCGATGGTTAGAAATCGACCATTGCTCGTCGCAGTTCCTCACGGGACATGGCAACTTTAAACATAAACTTCACGAATTCAAACTAGTTCCGTCTCCTTTTTGCGAGTGTTCCACTGATGATGTCAGTCATGAGCAGTCTGCCCATCATATCTTGTGGGAGTGTGATCTTTGGATACATGAACGTGATATAATGCTTAATTCAATACTACATACATCTGTTTCCGCAATTTATTACACCGATCTTGTCGCGACAAGGAAAAATTTCCGTGCTTTTAAGCGATTTTGTGAAAAATATTATTGGCAGGTAGTTGCTAATTGCTCATAAGATAGGCCCCCTTAATTTAATTTATTGTCCGTGGTGCATAATCTTTTGTCACCTGTCATCCGCTTTGCAATGGAGGGAAGTCGAACCTTAATTATGATACCATGAATATCAGTTTATGGTCCTAATTATTTTTATTTTATTTACGACCTTCGACCAGTTGGTCACTTTAGATAGCTTCTTGTAATAGTGTCAATATCTTTTTAGCTTTTAAAGCAAATCTAGTCTTCAAAGCAGTTTAATCGATTTATTTTATTTTCAAAATCGATATTTTATTGTCTATGATGGCCACAGGAACATCACTATACATGGACTCCCAGCAATAAAGTACGGTAATGCCTCGTACAGATTTTATCGGCAAAAATTATGGAACTTGATAGGTTTTAGACCATGCCACGCACCAAAACGTCCGGAAGTTGTAATAGTATTATAGAATAAACGTTAAAAGACTTATTAATTTAATTTTTCAATGCTTAAGTGTCCATTAGAACGAAAGGGTGCTTAATGTATTAAAAAAAATAGAAAATAATTATGATGGGTTAATGTTTTTTGGCGGTTTTTTAGGCGGTTTCTGACAATGTCCTTTACGGCTTTATCATCTTACTGCGACACATACATATTATAGTCATTCAGTTCTTAAGATCGCTCAGAACAAAACACAAAGGGGCTATCCATACTTTTGCTCAAGCTATTCAGCTATAAATCTTATAGGTAGAGCGCGAGCGAGAGGAACTATGCCACAAGCTATGCTTCTAAGTAATATGCTAATCATGGATAACACAGTCCTTGATGCTTTGATGCTTAGTAATTAATATTTAGATCGGATTTAAAGTCATATAAAAGAGACAAGGATAATTTTACACTACTTCGCATGGCATTAAAAAGTTTACAAACTTTATAAAAAACAGTAAGTACTTAGTTCAATTCAGTATTTTTGGAATCACTCGTAGTCATATAAGGGACATTTTTCAATATTTAAAATTGTTGCAGAATTGAAGGGTTAAGTTATATCAAATATTACTTACCGTATTTATTTGATTTCCCAAGTGGTTATAGCGAAACCTACTTTTTCTCTGCGCGATGGAGCCATTGGGGTTTTGTGCATGCATAATGTACATTTCATATCATTTCACTCTACTAAATTAAATCCGAAAATTATGCAACGGCACCTGTGAAGTTTGGGCCTATAATTTGAATAAACTCGAACTGCCAGACAGAGTTCCAACTCGTACTCAGTGCATGAAGGTATTAAAGTGAAAATAATAAGTTTTATAGGTTTTCGTGTTTAAAAAGAATGATTAAACCACTTAGAAAGCATCTAATAAATCAATACTTAATATCTAACAGACAAAAAGATTTTAAGTTTGCACCGCCCAACAGGGTCCTTAATGATCTCCAAATATATGTAACACCTAAATGTACTTAAGGAAGCAATAAACATATTGAGTATTGAAAAAATGATATCACAATACTGAATTCCCTTCAGAAACGTGATAACCAAAACAAAGGAACGCAAATGCGCTGTAAACGCTATAAACAGTGTAAATTCTTTGTTTATTTATTGCGGGCGAGAAAAATAAGAGATTCGGATGAAACAGGCAACGATGTACAGACCGCACGCCGCGGGCCCACATTGATAAATATGACCAATAAAGGAAAACAAAATGTCCAAGGACGGCATTATTCTGGTTTCTCTGACTTACCTTCTCGTATTAAATTACTTGGAATTTTATTTTCCTAGTAAATCATTGTTAAGGTTTTGTTTGGTTGTATGATTGAGAAGCCACGAGAAGCATCAAAGAATCTTAACTTTTTGGTTTTTGGGCTACCGATTCGAAGATAGATGCTAGTAGTACCTAACTCATGAGGTATGATACCTATCGCTCGCCCCACTCGTATCATGGTATCATGATATGTCAGGAAAAAATATTATTTTTATTCTTTTACGCTAAAACTAATGAATAAATTTTATTTTAACGCCTCTTAAATCACTGCCAATGTGATGGACCCTTCTCTAAAAAGGTTCACAATTGACTTCATCATCTCTTCATTTATTTATTCCAATCCAAAACAATCTGCAATTAAACCCTTTTCACAGGTTACTTTATTAAAATTCCAAAACACCCGGACACCGTCCCGTAAACATAATGGTGGGTATTTTGACCCAATGACCCACTTGCCCCCCGGAATCCGCATGGAAATATATTGTCTTGCACGTGGTGTGCGTCAACTCTAATTCGGTGTTTTACTAGGTAGTATAAACTTGTACACTTGCATAGCACTGAAGGTTTAAGTTAAATTCGGGAACTTTAGTTAATCAACACGTAGCACGTTAATTAAATTCAGGTATGAACGTTTATGGTGTTTTTGTTTTTATATAATAACGATGTCAGTAATTACATAAAGCGAAATTTATAAAATAAAAAGATACATAAAGTAAAAAGACAACTGATAATATTGCATATTCCAAGTGGTATTGTCCATAGTTGAAGTCATAGCTTGCGCTTTGTATTAAGTAAGTAATTTTTTTTATGGGCTTACCTAATGTTCATAAAGGTCGTTTATATTCTGCAAACATATTTAGATTTCAGGAATCATACTAATAATTATAAAATAAAAGTCGGCCGTTTGGTGTAGTGGTTCAGAACGGACTACTATGCCGGGTTCGATTCCCGGCCGGGCAGAAATTGAAATGATGAATTTTAATTTCTGTGACGGGTTTGGGTGGGACTATGTATTATATTTATCTATTTAAAAAAAAAGTATATAAGTAGTATATCCGTTAAGCTAGCACCCATAACACAAGCATTAAGTTGCTTACTTTGGGGCTAGCTGGCGCTGTGTGAAATTGCCCAAAGATTATTTATTTAATTCATTATGATTTCTAGTTAAAGTTAGTGTGTTATGAAAACTGTAACGAAATCGTTCGTTCAAATTCGTGTAAAGTAATATTTGTACGTTCTACTGTTTTACATATAGGTAAAATACAATAAGTCAATACTTATCTAATGTGCATAAAAATCATACATATGAGCTCTTTATAATGCACTTAAATAGAGACATCCCGTAAGTGTGTAAAACGGCAGGCAAAAGCTTGAATAATAATAAGTCTGTCATACTAAAAAACAAAATATGACAGTGCTCGAATAATCACGTATATTTTGTGAAATAACAACACAGCAAAGCATTAGTTGTCAAGATACTTCGGAAAAACAAAGGACGGGGCGTGGTGGCGATCATTAGACATGTTCTTAGCTTTGTCCTAGCGCATGATATAAATAGCGTAGTAATATAAAGGCGAATATAGACTAAAGCATTTACTTATAACAGAGCAACGAGCCGCTCTATGATATTTTCTAGTGCATCACCCTTTTACGAACCAAACGTCGAGCATGCTCACCGTTCTGTTACAACCTAACACCCTTATTAATAAAAGTTACATCCTAGTTGAACTCTAGTTTAAATTTTCATTTAGTATGGAAATGTCATTTTAATCCAGTGTTTATTCCGGGTGTAACTTTTTATTACCTAACAAGGGGGTAATTGTAGAAATCAACGAGCGTATTGACGTTTATGCGTTTGCACGAGCGCGGGCGATGAACATTTCAACAAAGAGTGAACGCAAGGTACAACGAAGTGTTATGGGTAAATGCATACTCGCTGCGAGCATTACGCCGAATAGAGCGCCGCGAATATTCTAGTCTATACTCACCTTAACAGTATGTGTAAATTCACTAGTTATACGAATAACAGCTATAATTAATGTGGGTTTGATCCCAGAAATACCGGGTGAGTAATAGAGTAATAAAATATACTCGATCCCTAAACTCTTCTAGAGGGTCGACATTATTTTAGGCCGCACTGTGCAATCGCTTTTTTGCGTCTTCTTCATACATTATTACGCATGGCTAATAGGTATGACTTATTACTCAGAGCCTTTTCTATGTAAGACAAAGTTATTTAAATGTCAGCAGCGTAACTCCGTAGCACATTTATCATAGTCCCTAGTAATAGACCCATAAGATGGACGGATGACCTTTTAAAGATTGCGGGAAGGCGCTGGTTTACTGCAGGTCGCTCCCAAACGACCAATCTGGAAATCATTGGGGTAGACCTATGTTTAGTAGTGGACATCAAACTAAATTCTTCCCAATTCATAAAATGAAACTTATGAGAGCCTAATTAAATGGACTTTGGTCGATTTGAATAGGTACGAAATTCACTAAGCCATATGGATGTTAATTGTCTGTTATATTCAATAGTTTCTTTCTAGTTAGGGAGCTAGAAAAATTTTGTATGAAAAATTAAACAGCGCCCCCTAGGGCGGCTATAATATAGGGGGCGCTGTTTAATTTTTCATACAAAATTTTTCGATGACACTTTGAATACGCAACGAAACGAACTCGAAAGTTTTTCCTACTAGAGGTACAGTACCGTCCTGTATCGTTAACGATACGTCGTCTTTTGTTTACCAGCAATATGTTCTCCCAAGATTATCCGTCCAACTTGCATCTTGCACCGTAAAGTTTGTCTATTCATTTATTTGGGATCCCACCTTGATAGTTTAACTTAACTTTGGTTACACACAACTTTAACTCAACCCCGTTG